CTGGGACCCACGCTGCCCTCCGCGGTCGCGCGGGGCTCCCGGAGGTGGGCGCTCCCGTCTCTGCACGGCTGCACTGGGATGGCCTGCCGTGGCTGTCGGCAGCGCGCGCCGTGCGCCCCGGGTCCGGCCTGAGCTGCTGCGTCACCCGGGAAGCCTGGGAACCCAGCTATTGGGCAACCTTGTCGCCTCCCGCTGTGTTGCTCGCCCGGGCGACCTGCGGCTAAGTCTCCTCCCGGGCGGGGCGCTAGTGAAAGAGAGAAAATAAGTGTTGCTGGCTGTTGACATCCCGTGACGCTACTCGATTCGTGTGTGGGCGGCCTATGCCTGGTTCATAAAAGAACTTTTACAACACTGCCTGGCCAGGGCCTCCCTGGAGGGCTAGTGGAAGGGTGTCGCGCCGAACTGGAACAAGAAAGGCCACCGGAGGGGCGTTGGTAACTGTCTGGGTCTAAGGTGCTGCACCTTAGTTGACAGTTTCTGTCATTACTGTATCCGCGGGCCTCAGTGTTGGAAACAGGATCTCTTCAAGCATGGTGATGTAGCAATCTATGTATGGTTTTTAATTTTGTTTTTATTACGTTTTTTTAGTTTTGAAAGAGCGTCTTATTATGTAGCCCAGGGTGGGCTTGGGATAATCCTATCGCCTTCAAAGTGTCGTGGTTACAAGCGTGTGCCACCACTCTGACCGTTCTTTTTGTTTGTTTGTTTTTTGTTTTTTGGGTTTTTTTTTTTGCAAATGTTTGAATTTTTTTGTTTGCTAACTTGTTTTTAAGGAAAAATTCTTTCTGACTTCATTTTTCTGGTCTGCAAATTTTAAAACTTTTTTTAAAAAAGACATTATACAATTAGCGGGCGGTACAGGCACATGCCTTTAATCCCAACACTTGGGAGGCAGATATAGGCACATCTCTGTGAGTTCAAGACCAGCCTAAATCTACAGCTCCGATCCAGGCTGTTCTTAATGTTGGTGGGATTACCGTTATACCCACCATGAGGGGCTAATTTTTAAAACTTCCTAGTTTATAGTTATTTTGTTTTGCTTTGTTTTTCAAGACAGGGTTTTTCTGTGTGTCTTTGGCTGTTCTGGTACTCGCTTTGTAGACCAGACTGGCCTGGAACTCACAAAGGTTCGCCTGCCTCTGCCTCTGCCTCTGCCTCCCAAGCGCTGGATTAAAGGTGTGTGCTACCACGCTCAGCCCTATTTTGTTATTTGAAGTTAGATTTGTTTGACAAGCCTACTCGAGGTTTAATGTTTGACTGCAATAATATTCTCCAAATAATTCTTAAACTTATTTGGGAAATTTCTAATAAAAATTTTAACTTCGAAGCTTTATGTTTTGAAAAAATATACTTCATTGATCTGTAATATCTTAGAATGATTTAAGAATATAGAGAAATATAATGTATAAAAAAATTGCAACAGTCTTACCTGTTTGGGTCTTAAAGGTCAGGGTGTAATGCAACAATGTGTTTTCAATATCTGTTAGCTGCATGATTAAATTCTCAGGTTTTTTTTTAATAAACAATCTTCTTTACATTTTGTTTCTTATTAGTGTTTGCTTGTATGCCACAGCACACATCTGGAGGTCAGAGACAGCTTGCAGGGGTTGGTTCTCTTCCACCTTCCAAGGGATGTAACTCAGATTTCTAAAGCTTGATGGGGGTGTCTTCAATCACTGAATCCAATTGCATCTTTTATTAGTACATCAAACAACAGCCTCAGAATGATTATCTAAGCATATAAATGCAGAAATTCCGGAAAATTAGCATCAGCCATGAGGGGTTTGGGTTTGGTTGTTTTGCTACTATTCAATTTCCATTCGGAACACTTTGTAGACCTTTGGGAGTGTAGTAAGGAGGCTGCTTGTTTGTTCCCAACTGCTCAGCCTCGAAATAATCACACAGAAACTATTAATTAAATCACTGCTTGGCCCATTAGCTCTAGCTTCTTATTGGCTAACTCTTACATATTAATTTAACCCATTTCTATTAATCTGTGTATCTGGCACATGGCTGTGGCTTACCAGCTAAAGTTCCCAGCGTCTGTCTCCTGTGGGCTACATGGCTTCTCTCTGACTCCACCTTCTTTCTACCTTGCTATAGGCCAAGCCAGTTTCTTTATTCATTAACCAATAAAAGCAACACATAGACAGAAAGACCTCCCACACCATGGGAGAGTATGACATTTACAGATTCTAGCACATTGATTTGTGAATCCTTATTTCTGATACTAATGGAGATTGCCAATAGATGTCTGTGATTTGTTATTGTCAATGCAATTAAATTGAGAAATATCTAAGAGATAAGTAAAATTTAGAACTGGGTGTGTCTATGAGGTCATTTCCAGAGGAAATTAAAGGATTGAAGCACCTACCTCATTCTTTCATGGATTCAAACTTCGTTGGACTATTGGGATGTTGGGGAACTGTGGTGGGTAAGGCCTCAGTGGAAGAAGTGACTCACTGGGGGTGTGTGTGGCTTAGAACTATGTCTTGGCTCTGTCCTCAAACAGTGAACCAAAGTACACCTTTCTTTCTATAAGTTGGTTTGTCAGGAATCTGAGAAACACAGTGACATGAAAATGATCCTTCCCCACCCTACCCCCACACAGTATTCTTAAATAGAGAAACACTTCCAGAATGATAAAATATATCTCAGATAGAAAGTAGTAGCTCTTTCCTCTTCCAATTTTATGGTTGTCACTATAGTAATAAATATATTCTTTTCCCTACTTATTATTAAAGAATGTAGCTTAAGATTATTCCAGTTAGTATATTTTGATTTCATGGTCATGTGGAATTGATACATATTCTGTAGGAACAACTTTTTGAATTTTGATCTTCTTCTGGGCTAAAGACATTCCCTATAAATCACAGTGCCTACTCAGAGGTCTTATCAGACTTGGTGATCATAGGTAGACAACACAAACTCAAGTATCAGTGTTACTAAGTTATTGTATGGTGTAGATCACATGTGTTAGGTGCACTTTGAACTACTAAGGGTGTTTTCAGTTTTAGCCTATGACATCAACTCGAGTGCCTTGCCAAATGGAAGAATTTTCCAAATATCATGTGTAAATTTGTAAAGTTCTTTGATGGGCTTATGAAATTTTAAGGCATAGTAAATTTCTTTTTTCTACTTTTCTAATCATAATTTTGTAGGAGTTACTGTCTCCAGAATTGGGAAGAACGGTGCCTGGCACTGTATTCTACCTCGTCCACTGTGGGTGATTTCCAATCTGTGTGGTTGTGTGATTGGAAGAATTCCCTAGGACACCCTGATGTCTATCTCAATTCAGACATGTTGGTTATTATATTTGGGGATTTTGAGTGATAAATTTTCTTTTTAAAAGCTTTTTCTTACATTTATTTTTGTGTGTGTGCATGTATGTGTGTGCACATGCTACAATATACATATGTATGGATAGGTCAGAGGACAACTTGAAGGATTCGATTCCTTCCTTTCATCATTTGGGTCCTGGAGATCAAATTCGGGTCATCAGACTTGGCAACAACTGCCCTTACTAGCTGAGCCATCTCACTAGCTGATAAATCTTTTTCTTTTTTAGATATGGGTTGCTGTAGGAAACAGTCTCCTGTAACTTGAATTCTAATTGTTCTTAATAATAAAATACCAGAAAAAGATACAATAGTTAACGCTGAAAGATCAGAGAAGCAGAGCAGCCAGCCACTAGGGAGTTCTTACCTCTACCAATGCTCAGACCAAAGGGGTGATCCTGTCCCTACGAATCCTCAGACTGCTGCTGTCTCTACAAAACTGCACCCATCTCAATGAATCCTCAGATGGCACTGAGCTCCTGTGTCGTCCAGCTTTATAGTCCACTCTCCACACAGCCATATCACTCCTGTCTCCACCTCCCTAGTACTGGGATTAAAGCCATGTGACCCCAAGTGCTGGGATCACCTTTGTATGAGCTCTGTTTCTGTTTTAGGTTTAATCTTGTGTAGCCCAGGTTGGCCTTGAACTCACAGAGATTTGTCTGACTTGGCCTCCCAAATGCTGGGATTGAAGACGTGCTACCACTGCCCTGGCAACCATGCCAGCTCTTAAAAAGGAAAACATTTGATTGGGGCTGACTTACAATGCGGAGGTTTATTTCATTATTGTCATAGTGGAAAGCATCGTGCCATGCAGCCAGACACGGTGCTAGAGAGATGGTTCTACCATCGGACCAGCAGGCAGGAGAAAGAGTGTCACTGGGCCTGGTTTAGGCTTCTGAAAACTCAAAGCCCACCTCCCAGTAACAAACTTCCTCCAACAAGGCCACGCCTCCCAACAGTGCCGCTCTCTGTGAGCCTGTGTGAGCATTTTTGTTCAGACAGCACATCCTGCGTCTGTGCTGCATTGTGAGACCCATGAGTATGGAGACTGTCCATACTGCATTATATTAAGTCATTCTGTCTACTTACTTCATCTCGGACATTCCACGAAGGGATAGGGAATTGCCATAGAGCAAAACCAGACACGTTTAGGGTTTAATACAGGAAATAACCACACTGAATTCAAAACTGCAAAATATAAATAGAAGAAAACACATAACCCTATGTGAGTAATAAATGCTAGTTAGAAAAAAAATCTCCCGGGAGAAAACGCAGTGAGTTGGGAATTGAGAAATTAGGATGAATTAGACAGAAGAGACTACTGAAGACAGTCTTTGTAGATAAACGTGAGAAAACATTCTGGGGCCACAGAAATCACATGAAGCATGAATAATAAAAACCCAGAGACATGTTGGGGTTCAACCTAAAGATCAGAAAAGCAAAGCAGCCAGCCACTGGCTCTTACCTCTACCTCAGACTGAAAATGGGTGAGATCCTGTCTCCATGAATCCTGAAGACTCCACATCCCACACTCCACTGAGTTCCTGTCTCTTTCCTTTCATATTCCTCTCTCCGCCCAACCATTTCCCTGTCTCCACCTCCCTAGTGCTGGAATTAAAGGCCTGTGGTCCCAAGTGCTGGGATCACCTTTGTGTGAGCTCTGTTTCCGCTTTAGGCTTAATCTTGTGTAGCCCAGGGTGGCCCTGGCCTTAAATTCACAGAGATCCTTCTGCCTATGTCTCCCTAGGTCTGGGTGTGTGCCCCGACTCCCTGGTCTGTATGGCTGACTAGTGTGGCTGCTTTACTCTCTGACCTTCAGGCGAGTTTTTTATTTATTAAAACACAAATAATTTACCACTATAATCACACTTACTCATTTGTCAAAAATGGACCTCGTTTACTTGAAAAGTATCCTTCAAGGATGTTTGAGAAGTGTTTCAGTGGTGAACAGATCAGCACCATATCTTCAAATGTATTCATTCCTTTCCTGTTGCTGTGGTGATTTAAATAATAACCTCCCTAGGCTCATATATTTGAATGCTTGCTCACCAAATGGAACTGTTTAAAAAGGATTAGGAGGTGTGGCCTTGCTGGAAGAGGTGTGTCACTGGGGTGAAACTGTGGTTTCACCAAAAAGCCCATGCCAAGCCGGGCGGTGGTGGCACACGCCTTTAATCCCAGCACTCGGGAGGCAGAGGCAGGTGGATCTACAAGAGTTAGAGGCCAGCCTGGTCTACAAGAGCTAGTTCCAGGACAGGCTCCAAAAAAAAAAAAAAAAAAAAAAAAAAAACCATGCCAGGCTCAGTCTCTCTCTCTCTCTCTCCCTCCCTCCCTCCCTCCTTCCCTTCCTCTCTTGTTCCTCTCCCACCTTGTAGATGACGATGTAATCTTCACTACCACTCCAGCACAATGAATGCCACCATGCTCCAACCACACCCCCGCTGTGACAATAATGGACTAAACCTCTGAAACTGTAAACAAGCCCCTAATTAAATGCTCTTTTATAAGAGTTGCCTTGGCCCTAGTGTCTCTTCACAGCAATAGAACAGTGACTAAGACAGTTGCTATGACAAATTACCTAACAAATACAGTTTCAAGAAGTAAAAGTTTATTCTGGTTTACAGTTTGCATGTATTCATCATGGTGGGAAAGACATAGAGGCAGATATATAAGGCAATTGGTTACATTGTTTCTACAGTCAGAAAGGAGAGAGTTAAACACTGATGCATAGCTTGCTTTCTTGTTTTTACTTAGTCCTGGAATAGTGCTGCCCACATTCAGAGTTAAGTCTTCCTTCTAAATGTATTATAGACACAAGCAAAAGTGTGTTTACCTGATAACTCTAAATGCAGTCAAACTGACAGGGAAGATTAGCCTTCACTATCAAGGACTAGAATACATAGTCCTGAGAGAAGACACAGTAACTGAGTGAGAGGCTTTACAAAGGCAAGTTTATTCAGAGACGAAGCAAGTTGTCTAGGAAAATAGGAAACCATCAAAGGGATTTTAGCTTGATGGTGACTTAACAGGATTGGTAAATTGAAAATTGTACTCTAGATATAAATCCCAAACAAAGATTAGGGTGTACCAAAGTAGATAAAATGCTCCCAAATTAGAAGATTTGCAGATAAAAGAAACAAAAAAAAATGGCATATTGAACCAGGATAGTGAAATAGAGGTAGAGAGTGAGTTGGAGGAGCAGTAGAATTCTCTTCTGGGGTTGGACTGAGCATTAGGAGGAAGAGGTTACTTGTGTATTTACAGTTGGATGATAGTGGTATCCATTCACTTGAGTGTTACTGTATTTGGAGTACATAGGAAGGTTGGGAGATCATTTGGTCTTGTACTTACTGAGTTTCTGTTGCACTTGAATCATCCAAGCAGCTTCTAAATGGAAGCACGAACCTGGGAACAAGCTCCTTCGGGCAGAACGGACTTATTTTAGCTCTATTTCACAGGATAGTCTATTACTACTGGGAGGCCATAGCAGCCGGAGTTTGAGAGAGCTGGTTACATCACTTCCAAAACAGAAAACCGGTAAGTGTATAGGGAAAGATTAAACTCTTGAGTATACACGAAACTGACTTTGGAATAGCTCAGGTCCTAGGTGGAGGAAGATGAGGTAGAAATGCTGGAGCTCCCGGGTGTTATGCTAGACAAGCCAAATGGCTAAGTGCTTCAAGGAAGGAACGGTCAATAAACAATGTCAAATGCCAATGTGAAGTCGTGTGAAGCAAGACCTGGAAAGTGTCCATTGGATTGAGTGACGTGATGGTCATCAGTTACCACAACAAAAACTGTTTTGTTGCGCAATATGGCCATAAGATAGACTGAAATGGAATGTCGTAAATGAAAAATAAATGGAATGAATCTAAATTTCTCACAGGATTTGACTTTTAATTGGAAGGGAATACGTCTTTTTTGTCTGCATGTGAGCATACACACATAAGTGGTAGGCATTCAGGAGCTGCGATTTGAGCCTGGGAACTGAACCTGTGTCTGTGAGAGCAGTAAATGAGTGGTCTTAACTACTGAACTACCCCTTCAACCCGGAATGCATCTTTTTTTGTCTTTGAGGATTTTGACTTATTGGCTTTGATAAAAGACTAAAGGTGTTCCAAAGACAGAAAAACACACATGTGCACACACACACACATGGGCATGGGGGATGAAGATAAGACACGGCCTTATGATGTAGCCTTAGCTTGATAGCATCAAACAGGCTGTCCTACTGCTACTACATCTTGAGTGCTGAGACAACTGGTATACCTGGCACATAACTCTCCCAGTCCCTCCTTCTCTCCCTCCCTGTGATGGTTAATTTCAATTGTCAACTTGAGATAGCCTAGAAAAGAGCCTCAGTGGGAGACTGTCTGCAGTGGGTTGGCCTATGGTCATGGGGTAGGAGACAAGGCTGTCTTAAGTCAATTGATGTTCGGGATGACTCAGCCCACTGTGAGTGGCACCATCACGAATCAGGAGGTTCTGAACCATGTAAGAGTGGAGAGCCAGCTGAGCACAAGCACAGAAAAGCAAATGAGCATGCAAGCATGCATCTACTCTCTGTCTGCACTTGGCTAGTCATGCGATGTCGTGACTCTCTCAAATACCTGCCACTTCAACTTGCCCGCAAAAATGGGTTGTAATTTGGAATTGTAAGGTAAAATCAAAGCTTTCTCCCCTAAGTTGCTTGTCAGGATGTTACCACAGCAAAAGAAATCAAAGGAGGATACTCCCTGTCTCCCTTGCATTCTTTTAGAAATTTTTAGTTTTGGTTTTAATTTTTAATTATGTCTATTGAGTTTGTATGTGTATGGAGATATGCACGAGAATATAGGTGCTCTTGGAGACCTGAAAGCCCAAGACTTCAGACCTGTGGATTGAGTTACAGACAGTTATGAGGCACTAGACATGAATGCTAAGAAATAAACTCAGGTCCTTTTAAAGAGTAGCAAGTATTACAAGTATTAACAAGTGAGCTCTCTCTTCGGTTCCCAGTTCTCCTCTCCTTCTTCTTCTCCTTCTCCTTCTCCTTCTCCTTCTCCTTCTTCTTCTTCTTCTTCTTCTTCTTCTTCTTCTTCTTCTTCTCTCCCTCCCTCCCTCCCTCCGTGTGTGTGTGTGTGTGTGTGTGTGTGTGTGCATTTGTGTTTTGCTTTCATATATGTGTTATGACAGTGTCAGATCCCCTGGACCTTGAGTTATGGACAATTGTGAGCTGTCATGCAGGTGCTGGAATTGAACCTGGTTCCTCTGAAAGAACAGCTACTGTTCTTAGCCACTGAGCCATCTCTCCAAACCTCTCCTTTCTTCCTTTTACTAACTTTGTTTTTTACCCTATAACCCAGGCTGGCCTCAAGCTCACGATCTCCTGCCTTAGCCTACTGAGTACCGGGGTTACAGATGTATGTATGCACCACCATTCCTAATTCTGGCAGGTAATAATCTTTTGAGATGAGATTGAACATATGAGAGAAGAGCTGGATATAAGAATTAGCTGCCAAGGCTAAAACCATAGCAATCAATAGAGAAAGTAAATATATGAATTTTAAGGCAGGTTTAGGCAAATATGTTTCCTGTATTTTCGGAATAAGGAACTGAACAACAACTAACACTGTTATGGCTACAGGACACGGGTGACATGGGGATCCGAAGGAGATCCCACCGTAAGTCTCAGGCATTTGAATACTTGGTCCCCAGTTGATGACTGCTGGGGAAGCATTAGGCGGAGGTGTATCCCTGCGGTGGACCACTAAGTTTCAAAGCCCATGCCATTCCCAGTTATTTTTTTCTGCCTCCTGATTCTCAATGGCAGCTCCAGCCAGCTGCTGCCATGCTTTTTGCTGTGCCATCACAGACTCTGAGATAAACACTTTATTTTATAAGTTGCTTTGGTGCTTTGTTGAAGTAATAGACAAGAAACCAATACAGGTGCTCACTTGACTACTGAGAGGTTCTGTGAGTTCTCTAGTTCCCTACTAATGCATATACTTCCAGAAAGACTAGTATACCATGAATATTTGTTAATTGTGCAAAAATTAGAACTACCTGAAAGTCTTTGCGATAAATTGCTCAAGTCCTACTCCCTCAAAAGAGTCCTTTCCATTGCTCTGAGGTAGAGTCTCACAAGTAAGTGCTTTTAAAACTCCCCAAGGTGAATGTAACCGCCTTTAGTCTTGAGAAACACTGATGTCACTCTCATAATGACTACACTGACCCCAGTAAACTTAGTGCTTAGATGCAGTAGGAAGAGGCCAGGATTTTACTTACAAACAGTTGGGGTTTTGTTTTTGTTTTTGCTGGTCTTTCGAGACAGGGTTTCTCTTTGGAGCCTGTCCTGAAACTAGCTGTAGTAGACAAGAAACTCACAGAGATCTACCTGCCTCTGCCTCCCAAGTGCTGGGATTGAAGGCATGCACCTCCACCACCCAGTCAAACAGGGGTTCTTAACAGCAGTTTGAAGACGAGTTTTTGTCCCCATGAGAGATGAGTAGCAAAAGTCTGGAAACATCTGTGGTTGTCACAGTGGATGAGTCTCGTGGAATTAATGTACTGATATACAGTAGTTTGAAGACAAGGGCATTTCTGGAGATCCTACAATGTGTCAGTCTGCTGCTTTTTTCCCTCCACAAATGCTTCATCTCCATGCCTGCCTGCCACAACGCTTCCCACCCTGATGATCATGAATTAACTCTCTGAAACTGTAAGCAAACCTCCAACGAAATGCTTTTCTTTTATAAGTTGCTTTGGTCAGAAGCCTTCTCTGAAATGTAACTGACTATTCCCTTTATTTTAAAAACTAAAAGTAAACATAAAAGCCAATTTTAAACTACTTCAAATCTTCCATCTTACATGCTTGGATACATGCAAGAAATATATGTAGCTAAAGCATTGTTTAAAGAAAAGAAATACTGGATTTAGAGCAGGCTTTGCCTACCACCTCCTTCTGTTGTTAGTTAAATGACATCCAACAAGTCAATTACTTGGGGAGTATTTTTGTGATTATAAAAAGAGGTATAAGTGACTTGGGACAAATAGAAAGCTTTTCTTTGGGGATTTTAGCCTGATTGACACCTTCTCACTAAGAAATGTCTACACACATTCGGAGTTCAGACCCAGCAACAGCATAGGAACTAAAAGACCAAATACCTCTGACTTCTGTTAGATGAACTATTGGCCCTACCTGGATCAAATGGGTTGTCTTGAAAACACAAAATTAGGCTTGAGAAATGTTTGTCAGGTAGTTGGTTGTTTGAACTAGAAACACATAAACTTAGGCCAGGGCCTCCTTGTGTGAGAGCATGGAGCATGTGGAGAATCACGGTCTGTTGCTGAGGGACAATGCTTTTGTATGCTGTAAGATTTGTCACTTGTATTGGTTTAATAACATGCTGATTGGCCAGTAACCAGGCAGGAAGTATAGGCAGGGTAACCAGACTTAGAAGAGGAAAGGCTCAGTCTGCAGTCACCACCCAGACACAGAGGAAGCAAGATGAGAATACCTCACTGATAAAAGGTACCAAGCCAGTGGCTAACATAGACAAGAATTATGGGTTAATTTATGTTGTAAGAGCTAGTTAATAATAAGGCTGAGATAACAGGCTAAACAGTTTGTAATTAATATAGTTTCTGTGTGTTTCTTTGGAGTTGAACTGCTGCAGGACCAGGAAGGACAGAAACCCCATCAACAGTCTGTGTGGAAGAGGAGAGCATTACAGGCCATGCCTTGGTTCTACAGCTCTAAGAAGATGATGCAATCTCCTCTCCCTTGCACCTCAGGAAGATGAGGAATTTGCATAAAGGACATGTGGTAGTTGACTAAACCCAAGCACTTTAACTTAAGTCTGTGCTGTCATTCAGCACATATCAAACACAATCTAATAGTTGCCTCAGTTCCTGATCTCCGTCCTTTGAGAAGTTAGTCTGCTCTCATCTTTGAGTTATTTGTCATAACTCGTCCTTATAATAGAATTTCACATCTTGGCTTCAGCAAAGTGCTTTTCTGCTGATTGCAACAGCAAAGCCGTGAGTTTAAGTGGCTGTGAGTGGAAATGGGATACAAACCACAGAGAAAGTAACTGGTCAAATCAAGAGAAGGGGAGGGATATACAGACTTCTCATTATAAGGTGAGAATTTAGTGTGTTTTGCAGTAGCAATTTTTTACCCCAAGTGGCTTAGAGCTCAGATTATAAAGTAGCCAAATATTTTTAAAACTTTCAAAAGTTTGGGTTACTAAATACTAAGTTTCAAAATGTACCTAAAAAGGAAATACATTCTAAACAAGGTTTTCAGGAGAAAGTGGGGTGTATTAATCAGGGTTTGTTGTAGGAGCCTGCTTGTTCATTCCTGGCTACCCAGACAATGAAATAATCACACAGAAACCATATTATTTGCAATACTGTTTGGCCAATAGCTTAGCATATATCGAGCTTGCTCTTATATTCTACTAACCTTCTCCATTAATCTGTGTATTGCCACGTGGCTGTGGCTTACTAGCAAGGTTCTGGCCTGTGTCTGTCCCCGGCAGAGGCTACATGGCTTCTCCCGAATTGGCCTTCTTTTTTCCAACATTCAGTTTAGTTTTCCCCACCTAGCTCTGTTCTGCCCTGCTCTGCTATAGGCTCAAAGCAGTTTCTTTATTCATTAACCAATAAAATCAACACATATACAAAAGGACTTCCCACACCATGGGTTCTCTAGAGAAACAGAACTGAGAGAACATAGACTAGATAGGATAGATAGATAGATAGATAGATAGATAGATAGATAGATAGATAGAT